TGATTAGGTTTCCAACGCTACAGGTATACCAGTTTTTATTCCCCGGCCAAAGGTCGGATACTTTTCTCACAGGCCTCGTACACTGAAATTTGGCACTCCATACCCTACAAAATTCTCCTTGTTTTAACAAGCACACCAATTATACAAGAACTTGATAATATTTATTTCACCTATTATGTTTTAAATTATTTCAGTTAAACATTTTAATTAACCAAGTAAACACAATAGACTACTACCGGTCTTATTTATTCCACATACACTTAACACTGAATAACTTAAGAAAGAAAAAAAAATTATTGCTTATGGAAGTGTAACTTTTGTAACAAATTCACATGCCATTAATGCAGAGCGAGTTAAACCAATGTAAAGAAAAAAGTACAGTGAATGATCATACTTTGCAGGTATACCTAATTACACACCATACCTGAGCATTTTTTGCAAAAATGTTGGCACCAGCCTTGAGAAGTAATGATACTGCATTTTGATTTCGAGCAAAAACTGCCCAATGCAATGGTGTATTTTGATGGTATCTGTCCGTCATTGTCAAACTAGCACCCATTGTTAGTAATAATCGTGTGGGATCATTCCTAATCAAGAAGAAACAATTTATTAGGAGTACATCAAAGAAATGTATTATTAGTAACCAAAAAATTGAAGCAAACCAAAATTGCATACCAAAGAATATCCAAAAACTGGATTGTTTTCATCACTCTTAAAAACTTTTCATTATGTGTTGCTACAATAAATATGAAATGGAATACAAATAATACAGAGTAAAAAATTGGTGAAAATAATAAATTTAAACAATAACTCAAATATGCAAAATAACTTGCCAAAAAACAGAAGGTATGCATCCCTTGGTTTAAAAAAACAACTTACTTCACTCATAGATAGAATTAAAGAAAGACTTTGATGTAACAGAGCAACTGTCTTTCAAAACTCTAAATACCAAATATAATTATATAAAACTGTAGTTAACTTGGTGCAGTTTTTATTTGTGTAAATGTCAGTGAAAAAAACTGTATTTGGTGAATTAATATTCAATGTTTTCTCAAACTTATTCAAATATTTTGAATAGTCTCTGTGGATACACTGACAATTTGAATAATTCATTCTTTTAACCTTTTCCATCTACAGGATCCATCCATGAACTCATCTGAGATATTAACTCTTAAAATAAAATTTAGAAATTTCAAAGAACCTTTCAGAAAAGAAAATTTTTGCAATACTAATGTGCGTTTTTTCATCATAAGCCCTATGTATAAGAAAATAAATATTTATCCTATAAAACTTCAACTAAACTCCATTTAAAATTACCAATTTAACAAGTCAGAGAAGAGTGAACCACCATCTTCAAATTATAATTAGTCTTAATGGGATATTTCACCATTAAGAAGATAAATTCAAAAAACAAAGTTATGTTTCTGCTAACCCTCACATAAAAGATATATTGTAAGGATAGGTAGGCTTGTTTTGTTATTAAAAAAGTAACTGAAAGAGTTTTAAGCACTGCAAAGCTACAGTTCTTGTGAAGTTCTGATAGAAATTTGGAAGTAAAAGATATAATGAATGTAGCAATGAATATTTTTACAGAATCACACTATTTTAGAAAAAAACCTTCAAAACAATTTTAGCAGATTAATTGTATTCATTTCTAAGTATAGTTTAAGGTACTTGCTTGTTTCATTGAGAAACACCCTCAAAGTTTTGGTTTTTACAAGTGGATTAATTTTCCCACAATGGTGTGTGGAGAATCTTTGTTATGTCTACTCAGTTTTTTCACAGTTTCTTCCTGTGAAGATTTTTTACCATAAAAACGTTTTCTTCTGTCTACTTGGGATGTGTTTTTTAAGTAAATCTTTTAAGTAAAATGTTTGTTAGAGACTTAACAACAGGCTTTTATCATACAATGATGTTTTCTTTAATACACACAGTCATACTATCTAAGGACCATCTAAAACATTTAGTCTTGTCAACACTTTTAACATTAAAAGTTAGTACGTCTACTGGAAACTAACCATCTTTAATCCACTACTCTCAAGGTATAGCTAAGGTTATAGACCTGAAGACTTAACTTGTTACTACCATGCAGTTTTAAGTAACTTGCTCTTGTGGTTCCTAATAGATTACAATTGAGTCTAAAATTTTTGGCTATTAACTTACGTTGTAACTCTATAAGCAGCCCACATGAGGGGTGTCATCCCATTCCGATCCACCATGTTGATATCTTGTCCCTTAGCAATAAGATAGGCAACAATTGCAGTATGTGCAAATTGAGCAGCCAGATGTAGACAACTGCATCCTAAATACAAAAATTGTGAAGGTTTCATTAATATATATATATATATATAAATGAAACTTAAACTTTTGTTTTTTTTCCTAACCACTATATATTCAGTTATGGAGAACTGTATTGTTCTAATTCAAATTACAACTGTAAGTATCTAATTATTAATTACGTAATTATAACAAAACCACAAGATCTAAATTTTCAAAATCCCATAAATAAAACCTTGTAAAGGTGACTATAGAAGATAAAAATAAATTTACATGTACAGACACAAACAAAATTTAAAAAAACTTCCAAAAGCAAGGCTTTGCTGACCAATTTTGCAAAAAAATTAAGTATAATGGTGTTTGAGCCAAAAATTCACTGTTACAAAAATTTCTGACTCATAATTTTAAATCATTGAGCTAATAGGTTAAGACTGCCTGATACACATTTAAGCCTTTTACAAAAGACAATATTCAAATATTACTGTTTACAACTGATATAAAAATAAATAGAAACTAATAAATATGCTTATATTGTTCAAATAAATATGAATAAATATAAGAATATAAATACTGGAGATATTCCACACAGTTTTAAAACTAAAAGAGCTAAAGAATTTAACAATATATATTTAGTGGATTTCCCTTAGTCAAGCAAGTGCACATTATAAGTTAGTCAATGATAGGCATAGCAGCAAACATCATGTTAATATCTTACTCTTGCTTTGTATATTAAACACCTTTCAGATTACCTGATTCTTAAAGTTGCTATTACATTATATGTAGTGACTACTAAAAATAGAGGTTGATTCAAATTCTATTATAGTTTACAGTTGAGAAAGTGTAACTGTTCATGAAATTTTTATAGAATACTGTTTTCTTTTTAATATTTCAAAAAGGATAAGATACGAAGATGAACTAAAACAGTGATGGAAGGAACAGGAAATATTGTTATATACAGTACATATCTCATATTTAAATTTGAATTTAACACAATCATTCCAAAAATATGGCAAAATATTTTCCATCTAAAAAATGTTTTTTCAAAGCGGTTACAAATGAAGAAATTATTTTATGTGCACTTCAGAGTAATAATTTAATAAATGCATTTTTCTTACATAATAATTCCAAATTATTATAGAGGAAATCATAATTCCCCCAAATTTAAAATTATCATTACTGTTTTGTACTACATGTGTAGAACGCATTTACAGCAGTACAGAAATAGTAAAAAAAATGAAATAAAGCATCCAATGTACTGGTAAAAGTTAGATAAACTTTTTAAATGTTTCCTGAGCACATATCTTAACAGATTTATGTAAGTTACACAATCAAGGTGAGCTTTAAAAAAGGATAATAATAACGTACAGTAAATGTCATTTTTAAAAGCTATTTCAGGTGATAATCAAAAGGCTATTTACCTTCACCATCCAACAAAGATGGGTCTCCCCCATGCTGCATAAGAAGTACAACCATAGGGAGATGCCCTTGTCTGCACATAAAAATTCAAAATATACTGATACAACAATGAAATTTTGACCTTTATTAAATATCAAATAATCTATAATCTTCAGAGAAAAGTTATGCAAAATGTTTTTAACTAACACTTCAAATATATATATATATATATATATATATATATAAATGATAAGAAATTCACTTAAAAGTTTATGCAGTTAGGGCTTTGGACAGTCGTTTTAGAAATTTTAATTGACAAGATTAATAGCAAGGACCTAAGTGTTACAGGAAATGAGCACATAAATAAACAAGTACTGCTAATATTTAAGAGAGAAACAAACAGAGGTCTGACATGTTAAACACAAGTGTTGCCAACATGCTACTTCTATTTTAATTGAAACTTTTCAGTTATTTGACTAATACCAATGCCTACCTGGTAGCCCAGTGAAGAGGTGTTGACTGAAGTTCTCCCCCAACTGCATCAATTACTGCACCCTTCGAAATGTAATATCTTACAATTTCTCTACGATTGTTAATTGATGCCCAGTGCAACAAAGTAACATTTTCAGAATCACGCTGGTTAACGTCAAATCCTCCTTCAACTATTGCTCTGCAACGTTCAAGGATGCCATACTGTGTTGCTTTAACAATATCAAATGTCCCATAATCCTCACCTGAAGCCACTGCTGGCTCAGGGCTGGAGTCTGCACTGTGCCGTCGAACTTTCTGCGTTGCAGGTTTTCCACCCTAAATTGAAACTTAATGTAAGATAAATCTCCAAAGTATGTTTTAATATGATAACATCAAACATTTTGAAAGTTCAGTATTCTTATCAAGCAAAATAAATGTTTTTTTCTATGAAAATAAATTTCATTCTATATAAAATTTAACAAAGAATCATAAGTATTTAGCTCAATTCCTCATGTTGCATGTCACAAAGTAGTAATTAATCTGCCATATGTATTGGAGCTGGATAATGACCCCATTCCCAAATCTAGGGCCTTTTTTTTCAAAAAAAGAAGAATAAAATTTTCCATTAGGGGCTGGTTTTTCTGCTCCTCTATTAATAGCAAAAATTAACCCCATCACACTAACTACATACTTTTCATATATCCCACCAATTATCGCCCATACTCTTGTGATTTTCCTAACTGTGCTAACTATTGAAATATAAGTCTGAAATTCAAAACTTTCTTCAGTAATACATTTGCATAATAAAAGATACTGACTATCTTTGGGGTGTGTATAAGTAAGCATTGATAATCTGAAATCAGTTTTAAATGTATTTTACAGTTTAAAAAGAGTTATTTAGATCTTTATAAGATGACACAGCAAAAGATCTTTAAAAAATAAACAAATGGTTACATTTAGACAAGAGACATTTAAGTTCAGATTAATCATATTTACACTAGGCAATACAAATTTACTAATATTGCTTATGTCCCAAACTGACACAACTGGGTTACTAATTAAATAATGAAACAAAATGAAATAAAAAGTGAAGCCAAACATTATAAATACTTTTTATTTTAATGCAGAGTTAACGTGAAAAAATATCAAAAGTAAATTTGGAGAAAACCTTGAGAAAATCCCACCAGAGAT